ATGAACTGCATATAGACTTGTGCACATTGCCAATGGCACAAATCAATCTAATGCATATTACAATAGACTGTTGGTTGACACTAGAAGTCATAGCATTCTGGCAATGATCTGTGCCTTCATGCCTTCAACTGTCAACTACAAACTACCTTATTGAGTAACTGAGTAGAGAGGACTGGATCTTTCGGGAAAAGGAAATATAAACAGCGGATAATTGCGGAGAAAGTTAGAGGATTCAACTTTATAGACAAGTCAATAGAAATATCCTCGGATGGTCAAACGGCGTTGGAAGCTCTTGGCTTCTACCGATCTATGTCCAAATTGGTGCCAAATTTCCAAAAATGAATCTTTTCGATAGAAAGACTTAACATATTGTCTCTGGTCTGGATTCCGGGTCATACTGGCCTGGAAGGCAATGATGTTGTTGACTCTCTTGCGAAGGAGGGTGCGGCAAGCAGTTTCATTGGACCAGAACCTGTCATTGATATCGCTTTAGGCTTTGTCTAAATGTTGGAGTGTGAATAGGTGTGAGCCACAACAAACCCTTGAGGGTTACGATGGAGGGTCGAATAGACCCACATACTTTGGAACTAACCTAACCTAACCTTGATGGAACGATGCTCTCTCTACTCTCAAATCTTGTGATTGAGGTTGCTGCACGAAGGTAGAAATCTTGGCCGGAAAAACGTCAGGAGCTGCCATTTTTGTCACATCATCTCTGCTCCGGGCACATGATTCTCAAACACAATGATCACATACCTCGCGGTGTGTGGAGTAGTCATTGGTTGATGATGCTGTCGCTCCCTCCCGAACGTATCGGAGCTTCAGGGAATAGGGCCTGACCAGCGCATATTCCGGGAAAAAGAAATAAAAAAGAACTCAAGAACGGCTGGACCAATTTTTAAAATTTTTGTATTTTTGGGTTCGTTTTCATCGGGAATAGGATGATAAGTATTGAGATATGATATTTCATCAATAAAAATACTAATAATAAAAGAACTCAAGAACGGCTGGACCAATTTTTAAAATTTTTGTATTTTTGGGTTCGTTTTCATCGGGAATAGGATGATAAGTATTGAGATATGATATTTCATCAATTGAAATATAATAATAATAGAGGCAAAACATCAGTGATAATAGTTAAATGTTATAATAAAACGCAACTGACAGCTAATATGTATATCACAGCGTGCTTTACTGAAGAGTGGACTTTTACTACCAATTCCCATTTAATTTATTATATAATAATATCATTCATTTTCTCATACTTAATTATTTTGTATCAATTTTAAAATCCTAAGTACGCTCGTTTATTGACTATTAGGCGGAACGACGTTCACCGGGTTCGCTAGTGATACTATAAAATCAAACATATTCTGGAAGTGGGTAATTACCTCTTTTACTTCCCCCTCTATACACATCTGATCCTGAAGCTTTTTTCTGGTTACAATATGCGTGTAAGTAAATTCTGTTAAAATCCCCTACATTCGATCCAAGAAACTCGACGGAGTGTCAAATTTCCCTGAGAAATTCGCTGAGCTGGAATACACGGGAGCAGTATCAAGAGTAAACGATAGCAGATATTTCCATTCGCACAAAAGATATAAAGAGGATATAAATATTCAAGGAGGTGCTCGTTAAATATCAAGTGACCTATGAAAATACTGAATATAGTCTTCGAAGGGGGAGCGTATCAATAAACCTCATATCTCTTTGCATTTCAAAGTACGGATAAAAATTCATGAAATCTTATATGCCCGGTCCTCACCAATTCGTGTTGTCACGAGTGAAAAAAGGATGAAATGTATATTTGTGTTAGAAGAGGATTCTCCGCTTATTCGAGCAGGTAGGGAATATATTTTGGTCCTTATAATATTTTAGAATATTTATGATGAATTGATCTTGGAGATAATGAGGTTTGATTGAATTTATTACGTTTTATGTGGAAATGTGCTCCAATTATTAGCAAAATCCATACGTTATAGACAAGTTTGACTTTGCGTCAAACTTGTCTACAACGTCACGTTAGTGACATTAGGATTTGAAAATAAGACAAAAATCATGTGGTTAAAAAAGACAGCAGATTTTGCTCATAGTTTCATTTTCTTATCACGATGCGAACTCTATGTAGGGGAAACTGGCCTATGACGGCCCTGTCCCTATGATGGACCCCTCTTATCATATTTCAATAAGTGTGAAGTGTGTTGCCTATATTTAGTATTCAAGGCAGTCTGCGTGGTAACAGCATACGATGTTGTGTTGTGTTGTGGAATTGGCCGCGGTGGTAGTGCGATCGACTCACGATCGGAAGGTCGTGTGTTCGATTCCCCCCTCGACTAAATATTTTTCTCGAGAGAATTTATCTAGTTGAAGCTGGAATGATTCTGCAACCGTGTTAGGAATCACACGTTAAAAGGTAAGACCTCGTTAGTCCTCAGCTCGCACAAGTTTCTCAACTTCTGAGAGTTGTCGTTCGTATGGGGGCGGCAGCTGATTAACGGAAAAACAGATTTCAGAGAGATTTTTTAAACAGAGATGGCCTGGGGGCTATCGAAGGAACACCACGGGGATCATTTCATCAGTTCAGAATTCCATTGTCTATTAAAATATAAATTGATTTGAAATCCCTGAAAGAATCTGTAAAAAATTAAAAAAAAGCTGAAAAATAACAGTTTTATCAAGAAAAAAGACTGAAATTATAAAAGAAATAACATACAAACAGAAACCAAAAAAAAATTAAAAAATGAACTATTAACAAGCTGGAAATTAAAACAATTATAAAAATATTATTATCAAGTAATCAAAAATTGAAAGATTCCAGACCAAGTTACTTCACGACGTTTCGATAGTTAGTATCCACAATCGTCTTCGGGTGATAACTGGACTTATTCCTTTGAGATCTGATTATTTGTAGGTCATTCGAGTGCTTTCACCTATCCTCTCTTTCCCCTCTCCGTTTCATTGGTTTCAGTGGGAGATGACCGTTTGGCGGGAGTTGGTCGTTTTTCGCTTGATTAGAGGTTTACATATCTTACATATATCTACGCAAGCGCTAGATGCGTTCTTGGACAACATATACGCGGCTTTTTTGAATCTTCTCCTGAGCCAATGTTCCTCCTTGTGGATGATTCCAGCTTGAGCTCACTTGATGTTATGTTGATGAGTCCAAACATGCTCTGCTACTCCGGATTTGCTAGTTTCTCCTCGCTGTGTGTGTTTCTTGTGCTCAGCAATGCGAAGTTTCAATGGCTCCTTAGTTTCACCGATGTATGATTCTCCGCACTCGCAGGGTATCCGGTAACTTCAATTCTTGGAATAGCAGTCCGCGTTTAGTTTTCTGGTTTTTGTGTTCCCAGATCTGTGTTCCCAGATCTGAAGCAAGTTCTGAAACAAGTCAAAGGCAAAAGTGGAGTAAAAATGATATGGCATCAGCTATAGATTCCGTGACATGGGATACATACTAGCAGCAAAAGCCTTTGGAATACCCAGAACTACACCGCGTAGGAGATTTTCTGAAAATAAAGGTAATAAGAAAGAATACTTGAGTTGATTTAGAAACATTTTTTTTTTTGAATTACCAAGCCTAGATCTGAGGAAACTTTTATTTCATGCAGCAGAAAAGCATCATATTACCCATAGGTTTTATTGAGAAAAAACTATGGCTGGTCAAAATTGGCTGAATTGTTTCCTTAAGAAAAACAAAAGAATATCTGTTCGAACTCCTGAATAAACGTCTCCTGCAAGAGCTCAGACATGCAATAAAGAAAACATTAAACCTTTTTATCAGTCTCTGAAAGAAGCAATGGATAAACACAAGCCTGACCCGGAAAATATATTCAATGTAGATGAAACTGGCATGAGCATTGTTCCAACAAAAGCCTCAAAAATGTTTGCATCGAAAGGGCGCAAACAAATAGGAGCACTTAGCAATGCCAAGCGAAGGCAAAATTATTCTGCGATATGTTGCATGAATGTCATAGGGAACTTTGCTCCTCCTACGTTAATTTCTCCAGGTGAACGGTTCAAAGCAGAACTAATGGATGAAGCACCGATGGGCAGTGTGGCATTTTGTCAGGATATTGCATGGATGAAAACCTTTCTAAAATGGTTGAAACTTTTTTTGCAGCATGTGAAACCGTCATGTGACAATCAAGTGTTTTTAATTTTGGACAGGCATAGCAGTTATAAGGGGCTGGAAATCCTGGAGTACACAAAACAAAATAACATTGTTTTATTTTGCTCCACATTGCTCGCATAAAGCACAGCCTCTTGATGTGAGATTTTTTGCCCCACTCCAAACATAACACGATATAGAAGTTCAAAAATGGCTCAAAGATAACCCAGAGCATAATGTTACTCACTTCCAAGTGACAAAAGTTTTCAGTAACGCGTACCTAAAATTTGCTGTTCTTTCAAATACCATAAACTCCTTCAAGAAAACGAGAATTTGTCTTTTGAATCCAGTCAACTTTGAAGATTTGGAATTTGCAGCAGCCATGACAACCGTCCAGAAAGGGCAAATTGAAATTGCCGCAGCAATTCAGAAACAAAGAAATGAACCCAGACCATATATATCGGGCAAAAAAAATAACAAACCGAACGAAAGTCAAATTGAACCCGAAAACGATGAAGTTCATGAGCCCGAAAATGATCAAAATGAGGCAAAATCACCAAAAACATTACCAGAGAACAATTGGAAGAATTGTCTCCTATTCCAAAATCGCCGAAAAAGACCGACACGAAAAAAAGAAAGCGTTGAAAAACAGGTGTTTCTAACTTCACTCCTGATTTTAGGGAGTTTAAAGAAAGTAATGCGAAAGCTTTGGAGGAAATCCTATGATGCCTATGATAGCCCCCATGGAGTTTTAAATAATGGTTTCATTGTAAAGAAGAAGTGTTTGAAAAGTTCAATGCTATCTTTTAAGGGTCCCTGCACTAGCTTCATTTTGAGCCAATTTGTTTTCTCAAAACACAATAATTATCAAAATTACAATCAATTATACTTCGATGGTCCCGTCCTCGAGATCACACTGTAGTTTATGTTTCACACCCTTTTTTGGCGTAATGTTTATCAATGAGAATTAAAAAGTGCCCCTGACTCACGTTCCCATATCGCCTCGCTGTCCTATTCATTATGTTTCTTACGCTCGTACAGGCAAAGTGTTTATCAGTGAATAGTGTAGCGGAAAATTTTATTCGATAACAATGCCCAAACACAGAAAACGGAAAATCAAAGAGTTCCAAAGCACAATTAGGAGGAAAATAAGAAAATTAGAACTAATGTTGGATAAATTATCCTCAAGTAAGTACAAAATAAATGAAACAGTTTAATATCGTATAGAAATTTCCAAAACGGTAGCCGACTATTGAGTAACATCAATATCACGGACCTACAATAAAATCAAGCAGACGACCACATTTCTCAAATCATGAGTCAAATCTGTTTTGAGAAATGCAGCGATCGGCATTTGAACATGAGTAATATCTGTTCTCGGCCATCGCAGAGGTTTTTTCCAAAAAATGAGCCAACTGAATATGAGTAACATCTGTTCGGTGGCAATAAAAGGGAAAAATTATTGAGCTGAGCATGAGTCACATCTGATCAGCGTCAATAAAATAAAAACAAAAAGTGAAAAATAACGACACCCAGTCTTACAAAACATTTTGGTTCTAACAGGTGAGTCAGACTCTTCTGAAAGCACACAGGATACATCAGATTCACAAGAATCAGTTTTATCTGCACAAAGTCAGAGTGTTCAGCAAGTTTGCCAGTCGTCAGATCTTCCCAACCAGCAAGAACATCCGGAATTCTCCATTGAAGCCCTCCTTGGGTCAAGGCCACAAAATGAAACAGAGGAAGGGGCAGAAATAGCTCCTGAGTTGGCCGTACGGTGGGAATCGTTCCTTTTATGTGGTTTAGACAAAGAGGTTCGAAAAAAGTTACTGGAACAGTGGATTGTGCCCCGAAACTGTAAAAGTTTACGGGCTCCAAGTCTAAACCCAGAGGTCCAGGCGCTATTATCTCCAATAGACCTGAAAAAAGACAAGTTCATAGAGAACCTTCAAGAAATAATAGGGAAAGGTATCACAGCCGAAGGAACAGCTCTCACAAAAATCCTAGAACATAGCAATACTGATCCTTCGATCACCCAAGCCTTAGTGGACTCCGGAAAATTACTGACAGACATGTTTCATAATATTTCACTACACAGAAAGTATCAACTCTACAAATATTTCAATGATGCTGTTAAAAAAATTGCATCTCAACAAAAAATTGACACCTATTTGTTGGGTTCCGACTTTACTGAAAAATGCAAATTAGCAAAAACAGTTGAAAATACAGCTCAGGAATTGATAAAAAATAGAGAGCAACAACCATCAACGAGTCGTCATTTAAACTCACAGCGTCCAAACTACAAGAAAAGGATGAAGACCGAAGAAAGAAGGGGGGGAGAGCGATATGTGACATACAACAAACAAACGAAGAAGCCAGCGAGAGACAGAAGAATGAAAAAAGATCCCCAATACTACACCCGGAACAGAATCCAACGGAATTAGAGGTAGGTTATGGCGGTAGAATTAGCAACTATCTTCATAACTGGGAACAAATAACCCAAGATAAAAACATACTCTGTTGGGTGAAAGGGTATAAAATACCCTTTATTACAAAACCTTTTCAGAAAAAAGTTCCCAATACTAATTCATCACCAGAATTTCAAGTGTGTATTAATAACCTTTTGAAAATAGGTGCCATCAAAAAAAGTAAACATTGTAAAAATGAATTTATATCATCATATTTCATTAGGAAAAAGCCGAATGGTAAAAACCGATTTATCTTAAACCTGAAAAAACTCAATAAATACTTGAATTGTCCACATTTCAAATTGGAAGACTATCGTACAGTAAAAAATCTCGTAGTTGATAACTGCTATATGGGGAATATTGATCTCAAGGATGCGTATTTTCTTTTATCAATAGATAAATCCGATAGGAAATATCTAAAGTTCCAATACAAAAACCAGCTTTATGAATTCACATGTTTGCCATTTGGACTTTCTATTGCCCCATTTGTTTTCACGAAAATTTTCAAACCAATTTCTAATCATTTGAGAAAACAAGGTCTTGTTTCCGTCATATATCTAGATGACATTTTATTATTAGGAAAAACTAAAGAAGAGTGCCAAAACAACATTACCTATACTGCAGATTTATTATCATCTTTAGGGTTTTTAATAAATAAGGAAAAAAGTAACTTAAAACCCACTCAAAACATTAAATATCTGGGTTTCGAATTCAATAGTAGAGACATGACTATGTCTCTGACTCCTGAAAAAGTTCAAAATATAATTTCTTTACTGGAAGTATCGAAAAGAAAGTCCCAAATAAAAATAAGAGATTTTGCAAAACTCATAGGTACGCTGGTATCCATTTGTCCAGCAGTCCCATATGGCTGGGTACACATCAAAAATTTTGAGCGAGAGAAATATAAAGCCCTAAAGATACATGGGGATTATAGCAAAATAATGGAATTACCAGGCTACCTAAAAACAGACTTCTTATGGTGGTTAAAAAATATCACGAATAGTAAAATGTCGTTAAAAGGGATATCTTATGTGCTAACAATTCACACTGATGCCAGTAGCTCCGGCTGGGGGGCAATGTGTAACGGAAAAATAGCAAAGGGATTCTGGGATATCAAAGAAAAAACTTTCCATATCAACTACTTAGAATTATTAGCAGCTTTTAGGGGTTTACAATCCTTTGGGAAAAATTACACAAAGTGTAATATACTGTTGCGAATAGATAATGTAACTGCAATATCTTATATAAATAAAATGGGAGGAATTAAATTCATAGAATTAAATAAAATTACTCGACAAATATGGGAGTGGTGTGAGAATCGTGAAATGGTTATTTTTGCATCGTACATAAACACAAAAGACAATACACTTGCAGATAGAGCATCGCGCGAAAAAAATATAGAAACCGAATATTCTTTAGATGATGAAGCATTCGAAAACATTTGTAGACTATTTGGTACTCCGCAAATAGATTTGTTTGCTTCATACCAAAACAAAAAGTGTACAAAATTTATTTCCTGGTATCCTGACCCGGAAAGTGAGGCAGTAGACGCATTTACTTTAAATTGGTCAAAAATATACTTTTACAACATAGATCGGCAATGAAAACTTTATTTCATATAACAGATGATCATATAATATCTAGATTCATGAAAGGAGTATTTCGATTGAGACCTGTTTTTCCAAGGTATAACGAGACATGGGACCCAGACCCGGTCTTAGCATATTTTGAATCACAAACACCACTGGAATCATTGACCTTGGCAAAATTGACTCAAAAATTAGTTGTTTTGTTAGCACTTGTGACTAGTCAAAGAGTTCAAACTCTTATAAAAATTAAACTCAGCAATATCAATACTTTTGAAAACAGAATAGAGATTAACATAACAGATATCATCAAAACATCTCATCCTTCTAAATGTCAACCCAAAATAGTTTTACCCTATTTTTACCAGAAACCAAATCTATGTGTTGCAACGCTAATGAAATATTACATAAACACTACGAAAAACATAAGAAAGGGGCATGACCAGCTACTGTTAACAATTAAGAAACCACATCATCCCGCGAGCTCTCAAACAGTAGCAAAATGGATCAAAAAAGGGATTTCATTAGGAGGGGTGGATACAACAATTTTCAAGTCTCATAGCACTCGACATGCATCCACTTCGGCTGCATTTAAAAGAGGATTAAATATCGAGAGCATTAGACGCACAGCAGGATGGAGTCATAAATCTCATACATTTAATAAATTCTATAATAGAACAGTGCCTGAGAATTCTAAATTCGCAAAATGTATCATTAATGGAGAGTGTGTGGAAGGTGATGGGAACTAAACTATTATTTATAAGTATTTTTTTTCACAAAGGTTGTGATTCTAGGGTTATTATATATTAGGTAAATGCAGTATTTTTGTTTACAAATAATCATATTACATATATGGTTGCATACATTATAAAATTATCTAAATGTTAGTAATACTCAATAAATTTATTGTTCATGAACAAAAGGCTATTTAAAATATTTAAAAATAAAAATTAAAGAAAGAGATAGAGTTTTGAAAACACACAAGGGAAATATTCAACTTGCTTCAGATCGCGGCCAAACCTTTCAACATCTACAGTGTGATCTCGAGGACGGGACCATCGAAGTATAATTAGAGGTTAAACGACTTACCTGTAAGGAAGTTCAATCCTCAATTATACGAGATGGTCCCGTCCGAAGAGATCACACCCACCCACCACTTCATACCCAGAAGCCGCGATCTGAACGAAACATAATGAATAGGACAGCGAGGCGATATGGGAACGTGAGTCAGGGGCACTTTTTAATTCTCATTGATAAACATTACGCCAAAAAAGGGTGTGAAACATAAACTACAGTGTGATCTCTTCGGACGGGACCATCTCGTATAATTGAGGATTGAACTTCCTTACAGGTAAGTCGTTTAACCTCTAATTATAGTTATGGAGGCCATCATAGGGAACTTTCCGCTAGTTTTTCTCGACCGACAAAATACGTTCATTTTCTATTAGTGTTGGTAAGTTACTAACACATGTGTTTTATGTGGTGCCCTGCTGTAGACTAGTGCCTCTTCAGAAGCTGTGTTAATTTATAAAAAAAAATGTTCATGTGTAGCTTTATCTACAGCCGCAAACTGTCATTTGTCCAAACTTGAGACTCTACAAAAAAGATTCCTAAAAATAATATTTAAAAGAGACATGTTGTATCCTACAAACCTTCTTTATCAAGAGGCTAAAATATTTGATATTAGTCAGTTGTACTACATACAGTTAGTGTATTTTCAATATAAACATAAACGTCACGATTATATGGACCATGTACATAACAATTATCTAGTTCAGTGGTTGATGTGTACGTACTGCTGGATGGGGATGTTTGGTTTTGGTGGGTACAATGCTTTTGTCCTGTGTTGGTCGAATTAATGGGTCTTTTTTTATTCCTTGGGCAGTGCTATTCTTGTATTTGGGTAGAGTTATCCTTAGTGGAGTTGTTGCGAGTGGTCCGGGTACATTTGCAGGTGATTCGTTGGTTGGTTCAGGTTCTGGTTCTCCATATCGGAGTGCTTCAGTTAAAATATGCATATATTGAAAATGTGCTTGAATGGATGGAACGAAAGATCCAGACATTTAATCCTCCATGAATGAATATTATTTGAATGTTCAAATTATTACAATCTATTCTTTAGAACAAACAGGTGAGCTCAGCAAAGAAGGGAGGGAATAGGATTAAAGTTGTTGTTTATTGTGAGAATCTTGGAGTGATTATGGAGAATAAGTAACGATTCCATATCACCCAAAAATTGAAAAATGCATATGTATCATTCAAACTTACAGCCAAATTGAAATTCCAGTTATTCTTTCTCACTTCAATCATTGTGATGAAGTCTATGGACCATGTATTGACAGTTCTGATACAAGAAGAGAACAAAAGGTTTAAAATTCTTGTTTGAGAATGATATATGGAAGGCGGCGTCCTATGCGTATTTTATATAAATTGAAGGTTGCTAGATGGCTCTCCATGTTCAATCGTCATAAAGCATTATATGGCATGTTTTAGGTTATTAGGACTTTTTTATCGATCTTGTTTTGGGTATCTGTTACCTTCCACAATCTGAAAAATATGAAAATTATAATGGAGAACTTTATACAAGTGTAGAAGAAGTAGAAGTCAGAACTACTTTCGAAACAAAAATACACTGAGATCTATACTCATACATACAAAACCCAACAACACTGAAAAAAAAAACAAAAAACTGTATTTTTGAAATACCTTGTTCTTGTGGTAAAAGTTACATTGGTGAAACCTCGAGACCATTGAAAGTGCGTGAAAGTGAACATCGAGATTACATGAAAAATAGACAATTGACAGGATCTGAATTGTCAGAACACATTTTAAAATCAGATGGTGAACATCGAGTGGAATGGAATACGACAAGAATGATTACCAATGAGCCTCACTCTAAGAGGCGTCAGCTAAAAGAATCAGCGTATATTCTCATATCTGGAGAGAATTGTATTTCGAATAGCTCCTTAGAAATAGACCGTACTTGGCTACCCATCTTGAAGAAAAATTTGGATAGTGGCGAAATGGCAACAGACTGATATCGGAGAGCACCTTGTATTGCATCGAATGTTTCAGTTGTCAATCAACATCATTGACATAGTTTCATATTTCAAAACTCCTTTGACATCTGTCGAAGAAGTAACAACTGAATTCCATTAAATTTAAAAGTAAATATAAGGACTATTTGTTCTGCTGAAATGAAAGTAAATACTTGTAAAGGATAGGCGAATTAAACGTTCTAATGTAATGTGTTGGCTCGTATTCAAACTTCTATATTATTATATATAATAATCACATTTTTAGATTTGTTTTTTCTGTGTTCTTTTCAGGGTTAAGTGGAAGAACATTTTCTGTGATGCATTGCATTACAGACGATGAACTTTGCCCTTCATTTCATTTCGTAGGCTAAGGATATAATTATATTAATTTCTGTTTCTTATTTTTTGTGATTGAATAATGAATACGATATTATTATTATTATTGAATGAATTATCAAAAAGGAGTAACTGCTAATATATTAGAATTTTTTGTCCATTTCTGAAGACGGAGGCAGATTTTGGCCTCCGAAACGTTAAAATAAGTAGTGTATTATTCCTAAAAATTTTTTTGATGGGCAAAATTGTAAAATACAAAAAGTTACTGATGAAAAAAAGATTTTTCTTTGTGAAAAATACTTTGATTTTACGCAGTAACTTATCGGGGTAAACTAAAAAGTTTGCCCTTCTACACTCGTATAAAGTTCTCCATTATAATTTTTATATTTTTCAGATTGTGGAAGGTAACAAATAGCCAAAAAAGGTCAATAAAAAACTGATTTTCCTACACTAAAAAATTGTTTTCGTTGACTAGTGTGTCATTTGAACTTGTGACGGAGGAGCACGCTAAATATATCCAAGCAATAATGAGTATTCAAATGATATTTTTTTTATAATATAGTGACTTTGGGCAATGTCTTGAATGTACCTAACTTTTCGTTATCTTATGATGCCATTTAATTTAGGTATAAATGAATTTCATTCAGTTAACGATAGTTTGTTGCCTGTACTATTTGATAATGATTATGAAATTTCACTTATAAACCATGAATGGAGTACAAAATATTTCTTTCGAGTTCGAAAATTTTTATTTTACTATTCTTCTTATGTGTGTATGTTTTTATTGGCTTTATAAGTGGACTGTGGAAGAATTGGATGCTGAGTCTAACGGTTCTCCTTTCGTTTGCCTCCATTAGATATTTTTGTTTCGAAAAATTACTCTGTATCATTTTATATATTGATGAATGATAAATGTATCATTATTTGAATTGAAGGGGTTATATTTTTAGGAGTGATTAATTTTTTTGGAAAAGAAAGTTTTTGGCTTTCTACTACTCCATCTGATACAAAAAAAGGTATGAGAGAATCTTCCAAAGAAAGGAAGGAAGTAATCAATTTGAAACTCTATACATCAATGTGTAGATCATGCAAAGAAGTAACTTTCAGACACAAACTGAAAGGAAGTTCTCCTGAAACAGCTACTTTCATATAAACATTGAATTACACGAAAGAAAATAATTCTTTCGAAACAAATACTTCTATATGAACACTGAATTATACAGAAGATACTTTTCTCTACTCAGTTTGTATTTCAAACATTTGTTGTGGAATAAGAATCAGATATCATTCACATGAGTTCTACTTTGAATGAATGGTAATAAATTGTACTCACTTAGAACACTGTCACCCTCACTGGTATACACCGATGTTTCGCCTTAAGACACTTGCCCTAAGGCTGTTCAGTACCAAATTGGATAACATTATAGAAAATACACACACTTCATTCATGAATTACGATTTTAAATGTCACGGAATAAGCTTGATCTGGTTATGTCATCGATGACATCGTAATGACAATTTGATTTAATCCCAGCCAAGAGGAATCTTATTTGAATTGAAGGGGTTATATTCTTAGGGGTGATTAATTTTTTTGGAAAAGAAAGTTTTT